TTCTGTTCTATTAAACAACCTTATCAATGGATGTCTCTTTGCATTTTACTGTTACTGGGTAGTGGGAGACATGAAAGAGGATACAGTGGACTCTTCCTCGGTTTCTCGAATGCATGGGTTCTACAGGTGGGACACACATGCTCTTCTGTCTCCAGTTAGTTCCTCATCACTTGGGACAACTGTGCTCCCGCTCCACACAACGAGTGGTTGTGGCTTTAGTCCCATGAGTCCTGGCTGGTTTAGGACGATATATGATGATTGCCTCCTTCACAGTTCCAGTCTGACTCTGACCATGGAATCATGTCTCCTGCTGCCTGGTGCACAGCAATCCATCTCAGTGAAATCACTGTTACACTACTCTTTCTTTCTCAGTAAACTTACTCTGTGTAGCCCTACCACAGAAAGTAATTCCTCGGTAGCCTGACACTCTCAGTGACCTCTTTGGCAGCTGCTAGAAGTGAATGGTTTGGATGATCAGACACATGAAGGAGAGAGAAGATTACATAGGGCCACAGTTGAGCTTGATCTATGATTTACAATTAAAATCAAGTTTGCCTGATGTCCTAACACTTTCAGTAAAAGCCAAGGGGAAAAGATGGCAGCAACTGAGTTCTGTGCTCTTTTTAAGTACACGAGAGTGAGGGAATTCATCCTAAGGCATGTCTTCCTGACTGATGCTTATGCCTACTGTTTCTCTCCACTCCATCTTCACCCTCTAGCTGCCACCAACTCTCAAAGGCTTTGTTTGCTTCGTGGCCTTCCACGCTAAGACAAACAGCTTATTTAGAGAGAAGTATTTATGCAAACACACTTGCAATTAATAACATTTTTTAAAGAATTTATTAACAGTAAAATAAAGGCATAAAAATATGAATGACATGCAAGTCATGTAGAGCCCGTAGGCATTTTCAGGTGGGAAAGGCAGGAGAGAACCTTTTGCCAGAGAAATTGTGAAAGGTGGATGTCCCAGCTGGAGTCATGGCGATTCCCAGCAAACGCTTTTGCAGAATACCAGTGTCCTACCAAGGAAGACTGTCTACCTGCATAAACTCCTCAGGGAAGCTTTGTTTTGTCGATTGCTTTGGTCCTTCTCTTCTTTGCGCTTTGCTTGCCTACGCCCTCCGCAACTTCCTCACGTGTTTGTTGAAGAATCTCTTACCTCCCTTGTGTCTAGGTGTCTAGTTTCTAGACTTCTGGAAGCAAAACAAAAGTGTTCCTTGTCCTCTTCCCACCTCACAGAAAAGGTACCTCAAAATTACTTCACAGTTACCATCACTGTCTTCTACCCATTCTGAGCCAGCTCTGGCTACAATAGGTTTTCTTCATGTGTTCTTGGTTTGAGGCAGGGAGACAGAAAGCTCACTACAATTGACCAAGTGTCAGTGACCTGCCTTGTGTATCTTGTGAACCCAGCAATACCCGGGAGGGACTTGACTGGAACACTGACCTAGATTGCAGGACCAGAGAAACATGGAGAGGGAGACACAGGATTAGGGAGAAAATGCTGCAAAACCAGAAGTCCCACTGCTAATGTCTGCAAAAGCAGAATTTTCACATTTAACATCTCTGCTGTATTGCTGGTTAGCCCACGCTTGGATGATGAACCACTGGTATATGTCACTCAAGGATATTAAAGTTACTTTTTTGACCAAAAGGGAGAAGGCGCACACACTCTGCCTGCTGCTCCATGAAAAACCCTGCAGGTCAACAGCAATGATTCTATTTTTCTTACTATTAGTTATTCTTTAATGTAATATTAGTAGTAACATTCATATTTTACAAATGAAATGCCACATCACAAAACAGGACACCAGACTGGTTCAGAATTACATTTTTCAAATGAATGAGTCCTGAACTCAAACACCAATAAGCCAATTTAGATTGCGCACTTGAACCAGGCTTTTCTGAGTACTTTTGGCCATGTAACAATGCTTGGCCATCAGGAAGCAAAATGCAGCTTACTGGAGCTGAGTCCACTCTAGCTTCTTGCTGGATTTCATTTTCCAGATATCCAAGAACACTGAAGTAGCACACAAAAATTGTTAACTGGAGGAAAAAAGATAATGACAAACATGGTGTTTAACTACATTTCTTATGTTAGGACAGGAAGGATTTCCTCTTGCCTAGTTCTCATTACCTAAATGTGTTGTATTTTCAGTTAGGAGTGTATTCTCCCTCTGTGACCAGTGGAAAGTAATTGTTCTGAAACAACTCATGGCAGTGGAGGATGAGCATGTGGGCCTGTTTCCCTGTATTCATAAAAATGAAGCAAAGAGACTTAGCTTATCCTAAAAGCCTAATTTGTAAAATTACTAAAATTAGATTACACAAGTCCCGATTTAGATGTCAGAGAAATATAAAGTAGAGCTTATTTAGAGAGGACATGTCTTTTCACATCATGTGTTATCCACCATGCGTCCGGCTCTTCTAATGAAGTAGCAAAATTTCATTCAGGAATTCAAGCACTGGCATTTTGGACCATAGGGTTCAGCTACAGAATTTAAAAATCTATTTATATCCCTTCGTTTCATTATCTTAACTCATCTGATATACAGCACTATGAACAGCAACTTACCTCTTCTTCTGCCAGGAAAAGATAGATGTAACAGTTCCTGCTGTCCAGTACTGCTTGATAAAGACATTGACAATGGTTCCATGACACTAAGCATGCACTAACAGCACTGCCTTGCAAAGGCTGCTAATAACTAAAAGGAGCAAACTCTTACTTTAATATGAGAACAGCTGTTGCTGTCTGAAAGAGGAAGTAGAAAATGAAGAGGTTGTCTTGAAGGGGAATTATTTCTGTGGTGACATGAAAATACATTTGTGTCCTGAGGAGAGTCAGTGCTTTTTCTACAAATGGCCCTCAATATTTCTAAAGCCATTCTTGCACTCCAGGAATGATTAAAAATTGGCCATCGCCTTTGGTGACACCCAGACTGTGGCCTCAAAAAGCATGCTGGAAGAGGGAGGGCATGTTCCAAGTTCGTACAGCATCCTTGAAGAACCAAATGGCAAGAACCAGTATCAGAACATGCAAGCTCTGCAGTGAATTAGGGAAATCACTTTACAGTAACTATTTTACTTACCTTACATCTACCAACTCCATTATGGTTATGAGACACTGTTGTAGTTTAACCCAGCAGCTGGCAACTCAGCAGTAGACAGCTGCTCCCTCACCCCTCCCCTTCCCCCCCAGAGCGATGGGGAGGAGAAAAGCACAAAAGGGCAACTCGTGGGTTGAGATAAAGACAATTTAATAAGGCAACAAAGGAAATACTCATACTACTAATACTACACTAATAATAATGATAATAATGAATATGCAAAACAAACTATACACTGTACCATTTTCTCACCACCCAATGACCGATTCGCAAACAGTCCTTGTGCAGTGACTGCAGAACCTGGAACTTGTGTAAACTTCACAAAACTCCCCAAGAAGATCAAACTCCCAGAGAAGAGAGGATTCAAACTCATGGAAAAGAGAATAAAAACAAGGATTCCTGTCCCCTGGCCAACTCCGCTTCATACACTGAGCATGATGTCCAGGTATGGAATGTTTCCACTGGCCAGCCTGGGCTGGCTGCCGGGCTGTGCTCCCTCCCAGCTCCTGCACACCTGTGCGTCAGCTGAACATGGCAGACTGGGAAAAGCTCTTGATTTCATAGCAAAAACTGAAAACAGTTATAACAGTGCTCTCAACATTCGTCTCGTACGAAATCCAAAACACAGCAGCTACTGGGAGGAAAACTATCCCAGCCAAAACCAGGACAGACACATTTCTCTGTCCTACTATACAGGGCAGCTTGCTGCGATTTATTAAACACAACTTTACCTTAGCCAGATCGAATACTGCCAGCAGTGAAGCTGTGAGATGAGGGCTGCCTTCACATCCTTAAGACTGCGCAACAGATTCATTTATTTTAAATACAAAAATAAAACCTAAGCCCAATGAGATTCCAGATCTCCACTGTCTCTTCTTTGTGGGAGCCATTAGAGGGATGACATGGGTATAGACACTACTCTAAACCCAAATCTTAGACACCTGATTTTCCCAGAAAATGCACAAGTAGTGCCCGCACTACTTATTGACAAGTCAAATATAAGAGGAAAAAAACACGAGAAAAACAAAATGTATTTTATTAAAAAAAAAAAATTGTGAATAGCATTGTAATAAATAATTTTAATCCGTGTATGACCTCCCAAAAAAGCTATGCACCTAGCAAAATGTAACAAAGCAATAGCTTAAGAAATGGAATCCAGGAGCATGTTCCCTCAGCATTGCTTAAGCAACCACATGAGCATGTATGTCATGTCCTAGAAGGGAGAAGGTTCTCTTTCTTCTATTCCCAAAATGAACAAAAAGACAGTTCAAATCAAGAGCCTGTTCTTCCTCAATGTCCAAAGAGTTGCATTATCCCCCAGTGGTACATCAGGAGAGTAATGAGCAGTAACCAAGTAGTGCCAGCCATGTCACAAAGGAAATTAAATCCCCAAAACACTTTTTAGAGAAAGAGATCAAGAAGCTCAGTATTATCTTATTATTTCCAAACCATAGTTGCCAAGAGGATTACAGCATCTATTTCAGAGCTGGAAAACAAAATCTGTGTAAGGAACTGAGGGCTCAGGTGGAAAAAAAAAGCCCAGAAGATGCTATGAAATTCTTGATGGTCACAGACCTAAAGTGCTTTACACTAAAGATATTTTTAATGAAATGTGGTTTTGAAAGTGCATAAACTTGAGAAAGCAGAAACCTGGATATTTAAATAAATACCTCCATACCTAGTCACATACACAGAAGCCTGAATGCAAGGACATTTTACGGTATAATAATTCTATTAACTTCATTGCAGTTTTTCCTGAGTTACAAAGATATGGAAGAAGGTCACCATCACAGAATAAAAACAAAAAATTAATATCCCCCTTAACAGACAGAACACAGAACATCTGAGCTGTCAAACCTTCACCACAGAGGAAAAAAGCTTTCCCTGCTTTCTCTAGGTCTCTTCAATTTGCATATCTGTAAAAGGAAGAATTACATGAAAAAGTTATTGAATTACAAAATGATGAAGTCACAGAACATTTCATGGCTTTAGGACTCTCCTACAATTTGGAGGCACCAAAAAAAAATTTCCTTCATTGTCAAAATTAAAGATCTAAAATGAAATTAATTAAAAGGTCAAACAGAAAAAGATGATCATGGGAGGAAATAAAGTGGTAGTTCAAAAGCACTGGTGGGCAATGCTCTTCAGCACACAGTGAGATTGCTGTGCCTTAGGTCCCCCATTCTTTTAAAATCTTCTTCTGAAGTCTTTCAAACACATTCAGTGCTCTATCTGTCAGTATCCCTTAGCAGCGTATCCCCAGGCCCTAACTCTTCGACTTGGAGATCTGCACCTTCGGGACCAGCAGTCTCACCGTTGTTTATGGTTACTACAGTAAAGTGTAGCAGGGAGGGAGTCAGGATGTAGTCCATGTAAGTGCTTTAGAAGCCATCAAGAACATGAAAGAAAAACCTCAGTAACTTCACCCTTCTGTTCCACAGCACAGTATGTTTCAGAGATTTGGTCATTTGTTTTCTTGCTTTGCCGAGACAGAATCTCACGGCTTGAGACTCGCTTGAGTGGCCGTGATGGCATAAGGTCTTCCTCCCCATTGCCATCACCACTCCTTTAGTTGTGCTGGCACAACTGATCGCAAGCTACAGAAAATCCTAATTTGGGCTGTTATGTATCTCCACATCACATTTTCCTTTGCATGGCTTTTCTTTTTATTTTTAAAATCAGGTTAAATTATTTTCTGTAAGTCCCAGTACACAATGAGTTATGACGGTGAGTTTGTAAGACACAGAATGGGAAGCTGTACTTCTCCTGAAGGCTCTGTCTGTTGAAGCAAGGAACTAAATAAACCAGCCATGAATCATGATTTATGCTGTGGGCAATGTGCTGCTGTTTTTCCCTTTATCATTTATACTTACATTTCAGCTCTTTGTCTTCAAAAGAAGTAGCTCTGCAGTCGTGTGTGTCCTTATCTTTCGACAGCTCTTTAAATAAATGACATACATACAGATAACAGTCAGCATACTCTGTCTGTTGAAGAAAGGAACAAAATAAACCAGCCATGAATCATGATTTATGCTGTGGGCAATGTGCTGCTGTTTTTCCCTTTATCATTTATACTTACATTTCAGCTCTTTGTCTTCAAAAGAAGTAGCTCTGCAGTCGTGTGTGTCCTTATCTTTCGACAGCTCTTTAAATAAATGACATACATACAGATAACAGTCAGCATAGCTTAAACTTTTCCTATAGTGATAAATCTTGGTTAAAAGCTGCTATATCAGGCCGTCCGGGAACTATGTGAGTTAAATGCAGATCAGGGGAAGAGATTAATACCAAATGCTGTGTCCATCTTGGGCAAGTACTGTCAAAAGATGTTTTCTTAGGAAAAACCCCAACTGCTCGTAGGAACTAACTTTCACACAGCAGTTTAATTTGAAGTCATCTCCAACTAAAACCATACAACAAATCAAAAAAAGAAAAAAACAACCATGAGCCATCATGAGAGGATGCTAAAGGATTTTAATCTCTTCTCTCCCACTGTAAATATTAACTCTCTCCACTGCTTCCTCTGTTGTCTCGTTGTCATTCACTGAGCTTTGCTCACAGCAAATAACATCAGTATCTCAACAGGAGAAAAAAGAAACTTAGGGATGCTAAAACTTCTTGCTGTGCTTCTCTCAACTGGACCAAACCCTCTGTCCTCAATGTTGTGACAAAGACCCTCAAACGCACACTGTAATACTACAGAAAACACAGGATCATGCCAACATGGCTCAAATTGCAGCACAGAGTCTGCACACCAGGATGTGCTGCCATCCTGAGGTATATGTTCCAGGGAGCATGTCGCACCCTATCACAGACTTTCCAAAACACAGCCCACCACTCTGTCCTTCTCTTGTGCATGTCAGGACTGCATCTGCTCCTGGAACAAGTATGCTTTTCTTTCACATCTTCCTTTCAAGAAGTTGACATAGTAATGAAAAGTCATTCTTCAATTCCAATTTACAGTTGTTACACAATTGAAAAGTAGAAAGCAAAACGAAAGTTGAATGTAAATCTGCATTTGGCTGTCACCGTTCCAAAGTAAATTCTCAAGCACTTATTTCCACAAGAATCACACTGAGCTAGATTTATGCCATAGATACGTACTTGCAGTTGATGAAATCGCCACAGTTGTTCTGCTGTCCTTATTTGCTCTAACTGAAAGAAAATAAGAGAGAAAATCAAAAAGAAAGCAAAATACTTCCTTTAGATCTAGTGAGGGCTTAAGCACGCTGGTGGGAAGAGCACACTTAGCTTAGTGTAATCATCGGTTCTCAAAGCACTCCATTTCTTCAAAGACTTTAAAATATATTCTTCAGTGCGCCCAGTCTGTCACTTTCCTTTCCAATTTCCTTTCCTTGTTCCTAAGCCCCAACTCCACTGATATTATAGACTAGATTCACTAAAAAATACCTGTTCAAATTGTTTTCCATTGTATATTTTCACCTCGAATTTGAAGATATTGGGCAACAGGGGACACGTAGGGGATCACCTTCTCTGTACTGCTGAGGGGAAAAAAGCCCATATTCCAAGGAGGTTCCATTCTGAAAGAATCAATTGTCCGGTCATCTATAACAGCTTGTGTTTTAAAATAAAAACCTGTTGCTACTACTTTAGCTTCTACATCAACTTGTAGTTTATGTAATATATACGTGTGTGTGTCATAATCATGATAATCACATACATCGTGACATGTACATACATTATCATGTATACACCCGAACAATACATATTACTGAGGCAACCCAGGAAACTTCTGACCTTCACTGAAATCCCCAGATGGGAATCTTCTGAGAAGTCAAGGATTTTGCTGTCCCTTCTTCCACTTTCATGTTCTACTCCCATCCTATCACATTCTTAGGGCAAGTAAATTCTCACACATGGAGGGTTATCTACAGGTCTTCTGCAGCCTGTTAGCATCACCTGCAAGCCTGTTAAGCTTGCAAACACTTCTCCCAGGACACATGTCCATAGTCTAGGAGATGGGTTTGTGAGCAAAACACTGAATATCCACATTTAGTTCTATCTTGTATTTATTTTATGGAACTTGAACATGAATGCTTAGTGTAGAGTTAGCTTATAGACAGTTTTGTGTGATTTCCAGACAGAATTAGCACTGTTTCTGGTTTTCGCTGTGGAAAAGAGAGCTGGCAGACAGGAAAACCAACAGTTCTGCTATACCACGTCAGAAAGTACACCTCTCTTACTGTGGAAACTTTGGAGATACCACTTGAAAAGACAGTACAACTAGCCTTTGCGTTAGTTCCAGCTGAGGTTCATGCTACCTACACACATTTACATCTCCTATAGAACTCAACAATTTAGAGAGGAGCATTTAGTCAACTATTTTGTTCAGGTTTTTGGAGCATTTCTGGTACTAATTTAGAGAGTCATGCCAGCATTATATTGTAATGCTAAGAGTACTGTATCAAGTTCAATGCCTCTTTAACTTTTTCTATGCAGACAACTTGACAAAAAAAAAAATCAAAAAGTTACTCAGAAAAAAAGAAGTAGCTACACATCAGCTAAAAAAACACACCCATTTGTTATACAGAGGAAGACTTCTGGCAAAAACCACTTTCCTTTCAATATTTTCAAGTGAGTCCTATGGATGTTCTGAGACCTGCATAACTTTTTGTTATCTGTTAAAATGAAGAGTAAAAGATGCCCCTGAATATAAAATCCTCAAACACACCTCCCTGCCCTCCAAGGAAAAAAAAACACAACCAAGCAAACAAAGAAAACAGTGTAGCAGCAGTTATTTCAAGTTAAACAACACATTTCAAACATTTTTTCTTTAATATGGGGGCAAACCATAATCTTTTAATGCTCAAATACCCTAAAAAATGTTTCTCCAAGTTTTTCTTTGGTTAGCTAGCAAGTAAAAACAAGTTACCACCAGTGCTTTAGCTCTTCAGCATACTGTGATGCTGAAAATGTCCAATTCAAGTCAGTGAAGTGAATCGAAAAAGCTCAACACTTAACAAGGAAATTAATCAAGTGGTATGAAGTCACAGTGGAAATATTCCCTCTTGTGAAAAAAAAAATCTTTCAGACTCAAAACCTTGGACTTATCACTTCAGATGTAGTCCACCATTTTTATAGTGTTTTAACCATAATAGTAATATATAGAGAGTTCATAACAATCAGATAACTTAAAAAAACATGTGCTTACAGTTCAGCAAAATTTTTCAGAGAATGCAGGAAAAAAAACCAAACTGAAAAACTTCCAGTGCCCTGTCTGCTCCCAGCGTTTTGGTCCCCAATCAAGAAGGAGGACACAGAATAGAAAACTTCGATTTCCAGTAGCTGCATAAGCTGTACTTCAATGTTTGAATAGATTAGACACTAATCTTACTGCTCTACATCATTACCTATAAGAAAAATTAATATAGATGCATGGCTAAGTGGTTTGTGAAGGGCTGACAACCTGTTCCACTCAAACAATGTGGTAAAAAATTTGGTGGTTTCAGGGCGAAAGATCAAAGGCAGACTTTTATAATCTCATCCCACCTCTGTGAGAACAAATTAAAAGAACAGACTGGTAATAAGTAAGACACACTAAAACAAATAATTTTAATACCTTTTCTTACGCAGAGCGTAAACAGGAGCACTGATCCAAAGAAAGCAGTCATAATGAGAATTTCTCCAACAAAACGTCTGCTCTCAGTCCACAGGACACCATCAGCTGAATCTTTGGGAAAAACAAACGGATGAAAGACAATACATAATTGCATAAGTTTCAATCTTTTCCTTTCATTCTCACCATATTATTTTTGCTATGAGCAGTTTAGACATAATAGCATTTTAGATTGTGTCTAAGGTCAGGTGCTGATGGTGCACTTCACCGTATCTCATCCCAATAAAGGGAAAAAAAGATAGAACATATTCGTATTTATCTTTGCTTCCTGCATTCCATGTGATAGAGTCTTTGATTCCCGTCACAAATCCCGCCTGTCACCAAGGTACAAAGTGTTATATCTAGTTTAGCTTCCCATCAGGACTACAAGAAAGAGCCGATGGAGAAAGAGAACAGAGTCCCTTTCATCTGGTGAAGCTCTGAGTGCAAAGGACAGGTGGCTTCCTTGAATCCCAGAGGCACTTCTTGTTAAAGCCGAACTTGCCTGCTCACCACTCACTGAAAGGATGACTTGGCTTTCTCACTCTCAGCTGCCTGTTGCCACCCCTTGTCAGTCCCAAAAAGTGTGCCAGCATGGTGAACCAAAACTGCATGGTGAACAGGGCCAGGGAAAGGGCCTGACCAAGTAACAGTCTGATAAACAGAAATACTATTTTTGAGTTGGATCAGGTCTCCAGTCTGGCTGAAAGCTTGTGCAAACATATCAGGGCACAATGCAGAAATTAAAAGAGTAACCAAAAGCAAAAGCAGTAGGGGTGGTGCCCAGTTAAAAGGTCTAATGAGAAACTGTATTGGTCTTCTCCATTCATGTGTCTTCCTTCAGTCCAGACTTTATGAGAAAAAAAAATGCATACAATTTGTTAAATTTAAATACCCTCAAAGCAAAGGCTGTAGTGGCAGGAAGAGACCATATTGTTCAAATTTATTTGACAGTTATCATCAGCAAAACAGAAATTTCTTGGAAGGTTTGTTTAATTCATATGGGAGGGTTTAATTTCTAGACTCCAAGCTATACGCTTTTCAAATAATGGAAGTTTTTTTAACTCTCAGACTCAATTTTCTCATAACTGTAGGTCATGCAAAATTCCTGTCCTTGAATTCCTTACACACATGCACGATGAACATGTTAGTAAGTTGAAATATATAACACTAATAGCAAAACTTCACGACACAGGTATTTCTTTTTAGCCTTTTCAAAATTAGATAGGAAAGACAAACAAATCACAGCCAATTCAACTGGGACAAAATGACATAGAACCTTGACGTGTATTACCATAAATGAAGTTTAGAAATGTTACCTGCTATATGTAAAATGGCAGATGTATTTTCTTGCAGCTCTTTATTCCAGAATATACAGTAAAAAATCTCATCAATCCTACTTTTGATTGTAAGGGTACTTGTCACACGATACAGCTGGTCGCTTCCAGTTTCATAAGTTGTGTTTGCCTTATCACTCAAATCTTCATATTCTCTGTTTTGCCATATCACTTCTGCTTCTGGGTATCCTTCTGACTGACATGTCAACTTCCATTCGTTCTCTCCTGTGCTCACCACTCCTTTGGTTATACGTCTATAAGGAGCTAAACAAATGGAAGAAAATGGTTACTGGTGGGAAGCTAGAAGAACAGCACATATTAGCAAGACATCTTTTCTTTACCCCCAGCCCCCCATCAGCTTGGATTTTGTAAATAACGCTCCTGACAGGAAAAGTAAATATCACTATTGTGTCTCTACATAGTAACTGGAAGTGCAGGATGTATTCCAATTATGACGCTGTTTAGAAAATTGCATTAGCTTTCTGGTCTTTGTCCTGTCTAGACGGTTTTGCAACACCACTCCTTGTGTGTCATGAGGGCAAATAAAGGACAGAACATGGATTCAGCCTAGACAGAAACACAAAGCTGTACGACAGTGCAAAGGCCACGAGGCAGCTCCTGTCTCTGGAGAGGTTTCTTTAAATGCTTACCCAGACGTGTCTTACTTCAGGGACTCCTCTGAAATCTTTTAACAGTATCAGATAGCACTGAACCTCCTGCAGTACTGCACTCACCCTTAACTTTCAGATTGATTGTCTTGTAGTCGGCTCCCCCGTAGCCAATAAGACAGCGGTAAAACCCTGCATCTCTGAGCTTCACATCAGTGATCTGAAGGAGAGATTTTCCAAAGTTCAGGTTCTCTTTCAACAATTTTATTCTTCCCTTAAAGTCACTGTGCTGACTTTTGAAGTCTTCCTCTCCTCTGAGAAGTACATAAACCTGTTTCTTTAACTCGTCTTTCTTTTCCCAGCTGACACTTAACTCTCTAAACTTTAATTTCCCATTCACTGGAAATGTGCATTCCATGGTCACATTCTTCCCATGTTCCACAGTGTAAAGTGACTGGGGAGCTTCAACCGTGAATAAAGCTGAAAAACAAGATTTGGAAGAAAAATTAATTTTCCAATTATATGCCTAATATTCGAAGTGATGACTTACCATATACATAGAACATTTCAAGGACCAAACCCATCTGCCCCGTTCAGAAAAGTTAAACGTTTTTGCATGCACTTGCCCAAGTTTGGGACAAACTGAGCTATTTATACCTGCAGAGACCCACTTTGTGCGCACACGCAGTGTGATGCTGTACTAAAAACAGGCAAAAGTATGTGCACAGCCCCTCAGCCGTAGCTTTCAGGACACTGCTACAGTAACAGGCAATTGCTCGTGCCTCGGATGGGAATGTTGTGTCTATGGAGATGTCGATTGTTTTTACACACAATTTTAAAGAATACATGCAATTCCCAGGTTTGACAGTGCCAGTAAAACTATTTCGTGTAACGCAAACAGTACCTTGTCTGAAATGGTGTCTATGCTGAAACACCTACAGGGGTTTCAACCTGGCCCCATATCAAAGCACACTTATTAAGCACACATATCTAGTTTAATGTGAAAGCATGCTAAGGCCTTTTTATTTAAAACATTAAGGAAAAAACTCCAAATGCTATCACCTGAAGGAAAACTGAGGAATTAACATTTCTGTGCTTATACATGGAAAGGAAACATACTTAAACAGTTCTACTGCTTCTTACCAATCAGCTTCTTACCGTTTAGCAAATGCCAGTAGAATAAAAATATAAACAAAACCAAAGGCTTTTCCATGACGTAGCTAGGACCTAAAATGATAAAATAATAGACAAGTATAAATGTCTGCTCATTTTCTAACTTGCATTGTCAAATACGTTTTGTAGTCACTCCACACAAAGAACTGGACAGCAGGCACTGAATTCCACTCTTGACAAAAACATGACAAAATTGCACCTTCAGCTACAGTAGATTAACTGGCAGAAAGCTTCCTGTGTGGGTCCAGGAGGAACATCTAATTTGCTTTGCTTTATACATTTGTCCTCGGCTATGGCAAAATACATGCTTTATCACTATCTGTCAATCAGTAAATAAATACTCACAAATACCCAGCTGTTCCCCTAAACTGTAGCAGGGAGCGTTGCTCCTGGTAGGAGGATAAAGGAGTTTTCTATACGTGTTCTGTGGAAGAAATGGAAATTAGTTCTTCCCCACCTGTTTGCCTTTGACCTACTGTGAACATACCTCTGGTCTCACAGTACTCATTACAGGGCTTGTGAAGCTACATAGATTGTGAACAGAATTCCTGTAGTAATTAATCACTTAATGACTATTTATACAACAGTGTCTTTGTAAAACAGTGACAAAAACAGTCAGCCTACAAACAAAATCTATTGTCTTGAATTTCTGCTACTTTACGTCTGAACACGTAAATTATTTCAATTTTCTGTCACAAGTTTTTACTCTCTTTATTGACATAGCTTTTATACTGCTACACAACACTTTAACGTTATGAAACAGTGATTACTGTCAATTCATACACTTAACCTCCACACACCCACTGCACTTGCTAAGTGTGTATTTTAAGTCGGAGCAATACTAGTATCAAACACTGCCATCATTTTTCAAATTACCCTCAAGAAAAATTCAAACTCACTGTAATGGAATTCTTTTGTGAGTACAGAGCACTGTAGAATTTTATCCAAATAAAGTCATCATCGTGGATACCCAAACAGCCACAAAAACAACGAAAGATTGCCTTCAACTGTTTTCTAGTGGTAGCTTCAGCACTTGCCTAAGAAATTAGGCAACTGCGGTAACTGTCACGCTTCCTAACTGATGAATTTCTATCTGGTCTGCAACTCACCATTTTTGGTAAGATGTTTTGTCTTTCCTTCTCTGGTTGTCAACTTTAAGATGATATTAAAGTAACAATATTGTCCTGAATCATATGACACGTGCCTTTACAGTGTTGTGGCTTAAGGGAATTAGACTCCTCATAAGAATTTGATTCAAGCTACTTTTTTCCTCAGATTGCTGCTGCCTGATCCCAGTAGCAGGTTTGCAGCAGGCAACACAGATGGAGCCGAGAAAGGGAGTCAGTCTAATACACTGTTAGGCAGGCATGAGCAATTACAAAAGGATGTTGTGCTAACAGGGATGGGAAAACACAAATAAGATCCGCAGGGCAAAAGACCTGTTTCATTGATAAATAAACCCCAGGCTTCTTAATGCAGTTAGGTACCCAATTCACTTTGCCATGAGTGATGTTCTTAAAAGCACTAGCAAACTGCTGCCTAATCCTGTGTGTACCTGAGAGCTTCTGGTGATGTGCACACGTGCGAGTGCTTCCATCATGATGCCACTGCCTGAGTAAAAAGCAGTCCAGAGCACCAACTAAGCTCCAGAGTAAAGCTTCTGAGACAAGGTGGAGGCATACCGATCCCACAACGTGTGCTCTGATCACGCGTACTTTAGAGGCGAGCCTGCAGACGAGCAGGCCACCAAGAACGACAGGTGTAGGTGTGCACCCCGCTACGCTCCCCATGCCAGAATGACCAGAGCTGTAGCACGCTCAGCCCCAGGATACTTTCTGCTTTTTTTAAAGTAGAGGCTGTAGCTGGGTGACTGCTCAGAACAAACAGCATATGCCCTACAGTCACGGAAGGGTTCCCACACCCACCGCATGCAACCCATACCCACTTTTTTGTCAGGAAATCTGAATGTCGGTATGAACTCCGGTTCTGATTAACTCCCGGAAGGTGGATGACACCAAGTAAGCTTCTATGGTTCTGAGACCCGTGCTTGTATCCTGCAATTGCTGAACTTTAACTTGCATGATTTCTCCCACTGTAGAGGAAAACAAGCCTTACTACACACAAAAGAAGTATGACCATTACTTACAAAATTCCTCAAGACTGAGAAAGTCTGCTGCTGTACTCAGTTTTTCACTTTCAGAGAGAAAAAAGCAGGTCCAGGTCAAATCCAGATGCGCATGAAAAAACCCACCGCAGTCACCATTACAGATCCTTCTCCCGTTTCATCCTGAGCAGAAAGATCCCCTGGCTGGATCAGCTGAAGCAGCTCGAGACTTCGATGCCAATCAAAGATCTTTAGCAAAGCTGCAATCTTCTTGCTATTTTTCTCACAGAACCTACCACAATGCCCCTTCTCTCCTCCTGCCAGCTGCTGACATCTATGGCAAACACAGTTCTCTAAAAGCAAAATGATATTCACTGTGCAGAATGCTCTTCAGTATTGTTGCTCTATGTTTCCCTCACAATCACATGAAGAAGACAGGAAAAAACAGAACTATTTGCACAAAGACTTCTTGTGACAGAACTTAAATGCTGATGTAACTGCACCTACTTCTTTAGGAAACTTCCCCGTTATTGGAAAAAACCCCACTAGGGAAAATTCTCTATTGCTAACTGTGATTCACTGTAACCAAAGGCAGATATGTTGGGAAAATTGGTGCATAAAATACCACAGGCATTTGTCATCTGATCGAAGCTATATGAGCAACAGTCCTGGAACATCAGTAGCGAGAAGTCATCCATCTACACACACTCAGGGTCCCCACAGTATTAATTTCAAGTGGCGCCAAACAGCTGCTAACAATGACTGGAAATTACTACACAACTTACTCACATCTGCCAAGGTCATAAGTTGGAATAATAGGAAGAGCATTGCCTACCTGTCTCTGGTAAGAACAGATATTCTCTCCCCAAGACTGGAGCCAAGGGAAGGCCCCTTGCCTTGCCACTATGTGGTGCAAGAGTTGTTAAGCCTATGCATTAGCTTCGCAAAAAACAAAGGGCACTGTCTTTTTCTTAATTCTAGAAGTCATTCAAGAATACAGAACAAAAACAAGTATTAGAAACCAAAGCATGTACTCACATTAATTTGCAGACTGTAGCGGGATAAACTGGTCAGCAGCATAAAATACAACTTTAAATGTGTTTCAGTGTAAGTTCACTTACTTTTGTTGTCTCTGCGTATCTCAAAAACAGTGTTGAGATTTTCAGAAGCATTAAAATACGGTGAAATGACGACTTAGAAGTTTTCACGAAGTATTTTCTTCTTTCCACTTGACAGCCCACTCACAGTATCTGTCATGGAACTAAAAACACATAATAGACAAAACTGGTAAGCATTAACCTTTTTACTTGACGTGTGGGAGGAGCCCAGGGACAGCGGTATATGAAACAGCTGAATGTAACATTTAGGTTCTGATAACCTGAAACTACCTTGGGGGACTGAGGGGGTGGATTTCCGCAGTAGGTGAGGTGCATGAAGGTTAATTTCCACTGATCCCTTCTGTGCTTAAAAACAGGCTTCACGATATCTTCTCGGAAGAAAAGGCGCAACAAAAAGAAACCGAAACAAATCTGTGAAGTCCTGACTGCGAGGCCACGGGAGTCACTGATGCGGCCAGCTTCCAATGCCACGAAATTGGGTTTCCTCTTTTTTCCAGCGCTTGCCTCCAGGTCACTGGGTTGCTTTAGCCATGTCAGCGTTTAGTAGCAAATACAAGACCGGGACAGGGGTTTCGTTCTGGTTTTTCTTTTTTGTTGTTGTCGTTTATATATATATATGTATATACACACACACCTGTACATACAGACGCAGACAGACAGAGACACGCACAGACACTCTCCCCC